AAAATAAATGTCCGTTGGGTCGTCGCGACCGAGCAACTGAGCGACGTTGTCGGCCATGTTAATTTGATCGTAGAAAGTGCGTAAGACAGCTTCGGAGCTGTCGTAGGATTTTGTCGTAACCTGCGCAAAAGTTACGACAATTTCGTTTCGAGAATACGGATTTTCTCTCAAATTTGTCGTACGCATTTTTTTCGTCGTAAGTTCGCTTTGAGAATCTGGCCTCAGATATGCAGGAGAATCCAAGCTGATACCGGGACGTTCCAAACGATAATCTACGATATACGCGCACCCCTAAGTAGCCGGGAAGCCGGAAAGGGATGACTACAAGCAACGTTACTAAAACACTCAGTTGGGAAACTCCCATAGAGACAGCTTTGAAAAAGTGACCCCAAACTGTCTCCGAGCACCGAGCTAATGACGAACACAACGCCACCATTTCTCCCGCAGCGGCCACTCGAGGAACTGCACGTGACTTCTATTTTGGCTTTAAGAACAGATACAGCGGTAGAGGGTGCCACCCCCGTCTCCCCGGCAGACGCGCCGCGTTCAGCTACCGAAGTTAAAATGCACCTAGGGCGGGACGTGCTACCTTAAAGGCCCGCTGAGGCATGGTTGTATAAAAACAATATTAATTGTGCCGCAAAACCCTGCAAACTAAAGATTTTAAAAACATAACGCGCCCCTCTTTTGGTACAAAACTCCAATAAATTTCATACAAAAAGAGTCTTTTTCGTTTGTTTTTACGCGAAAACAGGCTTTCAAAACGCTCAAGGTGGCCACAGTACAAACAAATGATAAAGAGTGGCGCTGTTGTCGCATTTAGCTCGGTCTCGGTGGACGCCAGCGGCCCAGGTTTCGACGGCGAGTTTCCCAACTGAGTGTTTTAGTAACGTTAACTACAAGTAACGTAGCGGCAGCACCACTTCTGGAATGCGCGCGCCTGCGCAGTTCGTTTGGTGACATCGGTTTATTAGCTTAATTGATTTGTAATGTGCTCCACGTATCGATTCTTTCAAACACGGGGTGTTGTGTTTTCTCCCTATATATTTTCTTGTCCTTTATACTATACCTCGGCAATTATGAAAAAAATATTGGCAGTATATATATATATATATATATATATATATATATATATATATATATATATATATATATTAATTAATAATAATAATAATAATATATTTATTGCGTGTAAAATGCACACAAAAATGAAAGCCGTTTACAACTCTCTGTAACGGTAACGCTGAATTAGAGCGCAGCTCTTGAGCAGCAGGAGGGGAAGGGTAACGAGGGAAAGATATATATACTTCCTCTCTCCTCCTCACCTCCTGATTCTCTCTGCTACTTCTGCCTCCGAGCAGCGTCGCCGTCGCCTCACGAGGGTCAGGTGACCTCACGGGGGTCACGTGAGGTCACCAAGGTCACGTGACGATGATGATGACATCATCAGTGACGTCACCAGTGACGTCACTGATGACGTCATCATCATCATCGTCACGTGACCTTCGTCACGTCACGATGGTCATCAGTGACGTCACTGATGATTATCATCATGTCACGTGACGAGACATCATCAGTAACGTCACCAGTGACTTCACTGATGACGTCATCATCACTAGTGACGTCATCAGTGACGTCACGATGACGATGCGGATGCCGATGACGTCTTCAGTGACGATGACGATGACGACGCGGATGCCAATGACATCATCAGTGACGTCACTGATGACGTCATCAGTGACGATGACAATGCGGATGCCGATCACGTCATCAGCGACGTCACTGATGACGTCATCGGCATTAGTCACGTGACCCCCAGGTCACGTGACCTGGGGGTCACGTGACCGGGGAGGTCATGTGAACTGGGGAGGTCACGTGACCTGGGGGAGGTCACGTGACCTCTCCCAGGTCATGTCGATGACCTCATCAGTGACGTCATCGACATCATCCGTAAAGTCATCGTCACCAAGGACGATGACTTTACAGATGCCGATGACGTCATCAGTGACGTCACTGATGACGTCACCAGTGACAATGCCGATGACGATGACGTCACTGATGGTCACGCGTCCCATAATGCACCGCGCGGTTACGTCGACGGCGACGGCGACGCCGCTCAAGCCGGAAACGGGCGCCTAAGAGCTGCGCTCTAAAACAGACCTGCCAAAGCGTCATTGGGCTTGTATGACAGCGTCTGGCAGTCAGCAAACGAAACAGGCATACACAAATGGGATACCTATATTAAAAGCGAAACGAAATCAAAATCAAAACCAAAAACAAAGTCAACCGGATGGGGGAACGGGGGTTATACTTGAATGCTTCTCAGCGCTTTCTTCAGTTTATACCTTGTTGTGGTAGTAATGAGACTCAATGAGAGTATAGTAAAGCATGTTGGGACTTAGTACAGTCTGGTTCCTTTGCCATATCTTGTGAAACATCGAGGTGCCCAATGACACTCTTTCGGTCTGAGATTACGGGCGTGGACGTAGGTAGTCTTAAATGCTAGACCAAAATGCCCGTTGTATATATATATATATATATATATATATATATATATATATATATAACATCTTGGGGCTAAGTAGGCTGTTGGCGTATTTTTATAAAAGTAGAAGCCACCGAGGGTCAAACAAACTTGGAAGGTTTAATTCAACATGTATAAGTTATACAGAAACCGCGACGCTTCGAAGGAAGACGTTTCGAAACGGGACCCTTCGAAACGTAGCGGTTTGTGTATAACTTATACATGTTGAATTAAACCTTCCAAGTTTGTTTGACCCTCGGTGGCTTCTACTTTTTATATATATATATATATATATGGTGGGTCTTTAGAGATACAAAGAAGGATACTTTGGTCCGGATAAAGACGTTTGTTGACGATAACGCCACACGCTTGCCCTGAGGGCCAACAATGTCGAAGATGACGGCGCTCTCTCTTTTGACAGGATAGCCAGTCGGAGCCCGCGCTGCCGCTATTGACAGTATCACGGAGGGGGAGGATCAGATAAAGATAGCAAGGCTCTGTCAAGCAGAGCCTCCCCCAGCGAGAGGCCTGCCCGGTGGATTAGGGCCGTCTTATATAGCCTGCGGGAATGGACGCGCCCGGGGTGGGTCGGATGTAGGTTGGCTCCCCGGAGGGGCGGACGCGTCCAAGTAATGATCCCGAGGGGTGTGCCTTCGGCAAATCATCCGAGAAGGGCGAGGGAAAGCCGTTCACAAGGTAATGCTGGTTCGCCTTCGCATCCGGTACGCCCCCCCCCCCCCCCCCCCCCCCCCGCCCCCATGGCGATGTCCCACGGCCTGCCTGAGCTAGGCCTAGATAGGGATATGGGGAACACGTGATTTCCACACACAAGCCTTCTTGGCTTACGTGGGTACAGAGCGAAATGTACTCAAAAAAGAAAAATAAATTGTATTGTATTGTATTGTATTGTATATATATATATCTGTGTGTGTGAGTGTGCGCGCGCGCGCTTTGTCCCACACACTTGCCAAGCAGGACGACTGGCTTTGTTTCACCTTTATATTTATTTATTTTTCTTCCACCATTTCAACAGAAGAAAGCGCCTGCATTAGGAACATTTTAGAGCGCAGCTCTTAAGGGCCCGTTTCCGGCTTGAGCGGCGTCGGCATCGGTGTCGGCGTCGCCGTCGCCGTCGGCTTAACCCTGAGGTCACGTGACCCTTCTGGGACTACGAGACCCCCCTGAGGTCACGTGACCCCCCAAGTTCACGTGACCTCCGAGGTCACGTTCCTCCCCTGAGGTCACGCGACCCCCGAGTTCACGTGACCCCCTCCCCCGAGGTCACGTGACCTCCCTGACGTCACATGACCCCCCCTCCCCGAGGTCACGTGACCTCAAGGAGTCCCCTATCCCTCGAGTACGCTTCCATCTCCCCCTCAAGAGCTGTGCTCTAACCGGCGTTACAGGGAATTGTAAACAGCTTTCATTTTTTCTACAGGATGCAGCAACCTATTATTGATCACTTTTTGAGAAACAGCAAGTTCCTACTAATTAATGTACGCGTAGAAAAAAAAGAAGCGGTTTTTCTCGGAGAATGTGACATACGTCCTTGAAGTGTACTCTGGAAAGGCTAAATACAAAGGGAACGCAAACCTTAAAATAGAGTTCCAGTGCAATATTGCGAACTATTGGCATATTGAATATTCGGGAGGCAGACGCGACTGCAGATGCGTTAGAAATACCGTGGTTCAAAATATCACAGCAAAATCAGTTTAGTAAATTTTTAATAAGAGCTCTCCCTCCAAAGCCCGCCCGTCAAGTATAATGTCCAGTTAGAGGAAGGGGCCTGTGTATGTCGTCAACCAGAACAACACACCATAATATTTTGACAAAGAATAAAACTAGCGCAGAGGCTTGATTTCAAGTTTTCAGTTCCTCTATTTAAGGCATCGCTATAAAAATATATGGAAATGATCTCAGTTAATATTGCCACAGTGTACGCAACCGGAAGGTTGCTTTCAGCTAGGTCTATCAGCACAGAACACTGCTCTCAAGGCCTCGCCTACGCACTATGGCACAGATAATCAGTCTAAAAGCTTAGGCACCGAAATTTAAGTTTCATATTCGTGTCGTTTATAATATTTTCTAAGAGTTTACGAATCATTGCAATTGATAACTCCTACGTTCGCTTAAGCACTCCTTACTCAACACTCGATTAAGAAGTCAGACGGCCGTGAAACAAAGATTCCTCGTGCCTCCAAGGTCACAAATGTGGCAATGCAACACGGAGGTTGACAGGAACCAACTATTTTGTTGTGTTTTACCTATGGCGGCGAACATCAGCGGTCATTATCGGACGAGGAAAGCGAATACCTCGATGGACGACGTTCACTTTTCCCCCATTGATACTTCTGCCTTTCAAAAGAAGGAGCATCACAAATCTGTCACATTTACTGCTCCGACTTTGATCTTCAACCTCTGGCAGTCGCTTCATATTACACTGTGCAGAGAAGACGTTTTAAAGTGCTGTTCCACGATGTATTGGCTATGTAGCGCTGCGTTCGCGGTAACGCTGCTTTCTAATCTGTTGGCCGGAACCTTCGGTCAAGAGGAAGAGACCGTCACCAGGAGCCTGGAATCGGATATTGAAGACGTCTTGGGTCTCTTGATGAAAAATATCCTGCCGATAGTCTCTGGTTTGGCGTTTAGTCCGAAACTTGGCTCGGCGTGCTCTTCGGACTTATTCAAGATCATCAGCGCCGTTCAAAAGAGAGATCCCTGGGTCATAAGAAGTAAGTGATACCCTCTTTGCGGTGCCAATTATGGACTTTCAGATGTGGTGCGATTCCTCATCTAAAACGTATTGATTATGGATGACTGAAAAGAACATGTAAAGCTTAACACCATGCATACGAAGATTGTTTGGCCTCTAGGCCTTTCTGCCTTCGCCATAGCAGAAGATGAAGGGGCACACATCCCCTTTGACATTGACAATACATAATTTTGGTCATGTGTGCTAATTTTTCGGCTACGAAATACTGGCAACGTAGGAGAATGGTGACTGAATAGCGGCTAAACGCGTCTTTGCGACTATTACCCAGGCGAAGAATTCCCAGGGAGTGGGCTGCGGTAGTATGTGTGGTGTCTCCTATTGTGCAGAAAAAAAGATAGACTGACTGAAAAAATGTATTCTCTAACCAAGTTTGAAAAAAAAAATACTCTACGTTTCGGGATCAGCTCGATGCCTTGGTCACGGGTGACTATGGGTTGGGCGAACCTTCTTTGTCGTCATCACCGATGTCGTCTTAATGATCTTCATCTTCATCTCCATCAAGAATATTCAGGGCCTGGAACCTATATCATATCTATATCATTAAGATGATATAAATGAAGACGACAAAGAAGATTCGCCCAACCCATAGTCACCCGTGACCATGGGACCGAGCTGCTCCCAAAACGTGGGGTATTTTGTTTTTATTCAAGCTTGGTTAAAGATTCAATTCTTTCAGTCAGTCTATTTATTCCCTAATCAGACAGATCTCTGCCGAACATGTTTACATCCGAAAAAAGTTACCGCACATGCTCAGAACTGACAGCGTTTTTAATAATATTTAGAGTTTTTTTTTTGTCACTGTTTATGTAGTCGCTGCAATAATTGTTAAAAGCTCCGCAATTAAGTATTCCAATCGGCAATGTACGTATTTTTTAGATCACGTGGTTGAAAACTTTACGAAGTTTTCGTGGCGATGTCTCCTTGTGATGTCTCCCTGCGACAGCTGATTACTAGACGTATTCACCCTATAATATCCTGAACGTTAGAATGTACCTCAAACCTCGACATGAGAAATAGTGTATACGCTATAGGCAGAGTATTTCATTCATTGAAAAGTCTCCGGTTTGTCGAGTCTAGCGCATGTGGCCCTTAGCTTCACTAAGCTAGGGAGCTAACTCAGGGAAATAAACTCTGAAACTTTTTCAATAGCCCCCTTATTGCAGACAAGTTAACGTTCAACCAATATTCCTCAGCAGAGAGCAGCCATGCTCTTCGCTGAGGGAACGATAACAATGCTAGAAAACGGTTTCGATACTCCCATTCGCGGCTCTCGTGTCTCTAGGCGTTTAGTTTTTTTTTTTTTCGTACTAATTAATGATATAATATTCCTAGTGATGTGCATACCTGCAGTCATTTACCAGGCGTATCTGTCCTCGATATCTTTATTTCACAACTCCTATAAAATAATATAAGATGCAGACCGCGGTTAGGCCCGTCGACTTACGAACTATAGTAACAAACCCCCTTGGAATTTAAACAAAGCATTTCCAAAATTGTCTACCGTCGTTACGAGAAACGCCTTTTCTGAAATATTAATCAGACATATATCCTAAAAAAATTACCAGTCGCGCAGAAAAAGTTTGTATGATTATATTTTACATCCACTACCTTATCAACGTTATCAATTAGACTTTTCATACTTATAAGTATGTCTGACAAAATATAAAACATTTCAGACTTTTGAGCTTGCTAGTGAATAAAAAATATAAAATATTCCCGCCCAAATAAAAATATAATTTTCAATTTTACATGCATTTAGATCTAACGTAATGAGAATGGTCATATTTCATTTAGCTCGTTATCCTGAGAAGCGTTATTCACGGAGTACAGTGTAAAACAGATGCAAAAATACCACAGACAAAATATTTACCCCGAAGCGATTGTATGAATTGTTTTCCATGTGTATAATTAAGCTATCTTTCTTCATTATAAGTGATAAACCAATTGTCATTGATGGTCAACTCTCGTCGATAAAATGTCCTGACGCTAAAAAGAGGTTTCTAGAATTTACTATGTTGCTACTTTTTGCTGGCATTGCGCGCAATTTAATGATAATTAAAACGTTGCCTTCAACAAATTATTCGTTTGAGTTGGGAAGACAGTTAAAAAGTGGTAGCAAAGTTCGCAAATTCGTAGGTATACATTTATAACTTCTTCGAATTAAGGCAATTGATTATAAAAGGCACGCTCTTATTTTGTAATACATTTCTCCTAGTGCATATCTTTGATACTTCTGTGAAACCTAACTTTAAGACTGGGCTGGAACGGCAAAAAAACTAACAAAGCCTTTAGCCGAATTAGCTGTTTACTCTTATTTTAACTCCAAATATAACAACAAAGATATGCGCCTCGTGTCAGTATAGATAAAATAAACAAGCACACATCTAAAAACTGATGCTACTGTTTAATGTCTGAACTGTTCAAATCCCACTATGTCAGTGCGTCCGAAATTATGTATCTGAAACGCACGGCAACGACTGGGAGTCTATGTAGTACATCCTTCATTGTACGACCTTGAGGTCTGTAGGCTGAGAGACTCATTACCGCTTAGCAAGAGGAATATTCCTGCAATTCTAGTGTAATTACCGCGGGTCGTTTCCATTTAGTAAGCACGTAGCGACAAATTGAGGCGAAACAAACACATCAGGCCCGGGCAGCGGCTCTTTGATTATTCCATGGCGTTCTATCCAGGAAACGTCGATCAGCAAGGTCACTCCTCGGAACAGTATGACAAAACGGATCGTTTCGTTAATTCGTCTAGGTGAAATTGGCAAGTAATTTTCGAGTAGAAATGAAGCGTCGGTGATTGGCATTAGAAGGCGTTCGAAGATTGAGTAGAGACGGAGGCTGCTAGCTTTGCGTCTACCTACGAATCATTCCAACCATGCAGAGCTCGATATTCCGAAGTCCCAGCACTCTCTCATTTTCTCCTCTCCCTCAATTTCAACTCGTACAAAATAAAGAGTTGCGTTCTATGTGCTTAGGGTCATTAAATTTACTTGTTTTCAGATATATAGTAATTACTCAATAAGCGTCAAGGGGCCTGATTAATATTCCAGTAAAAATGTTCGCTTAAAAAAAAAAAAGCAATGCACCCCGAGCGTTATAAACCTGATCATAAATTATAATATGATTGGTTAAGCCATACAACAGTTTCTACTGCTTTCCAGCCGCATACTGTCCCGTCGTTATCCATGTGACACCCTTGTGTGCCACTTTAGCCGTCCATTCGCTTTGGTTAAGGGTTCGGGACTACATGAAAACTTTAGTTTTACCATGCGTTCTTTGTTCCAAAAAAAAAACGACCAAAATTTGCATTTCCTAGGCAAGCCGTAGCACATGGAGTGCGCATGAAACAATGTGCTACGTAGCTCTTATATACTAAAATTGGCAAGCTTTGTCCTAATCTGAATAATTATTTGCTCTAAACACTAAGCACTTTTTCTGTTATCTTATGATTTTTTTTTTCATAATCTTTTAAACGGCAAACACATGCTTCAGTTGATTATGCGTCGTAAGCTTTTATTTCTCTTTTTGCTCTTTGAGGTGAATGGAACTGTTTTATGTGGGTGTGCGCTCCCAGCTTTCGCCTGTCACCCGAATGGAAGCTTCGTTTACTAGTGTTTCGTCACCTTCAATCGACATGTTTATGCCTGTGAGCTAGTCCAAGAACTTAGTTGATTATATACTATAAAATATAAAGTCGAACTATAGTCGAACATATGATCTTGTTTGCTGATTTTATTTAGGTTCGGTATTTTTATGTGCATGATATCAAAGCGCTTCATGTGTGTTTGTGTCTGTGTGCGTGCGTGCGTGTGTTCGTGTGTGTGTGTTTTTGTATTGTGATGCACCACTGGGATTGCATGTTAAATAAACATAAATAAACAAACATAAGCATAATTATAATTGTCCCGAGTCGATGCAATCGAAGAGAGTTTCTGCGTATCCCACTGAAAGACGCATATGAAAAATTTTAAAATTTTTGACCCTTCTCAAGTATATTTAGCAGGTTAATCGTTTAATTAATAAAAAAATTACGTCGGAACGGTTCTAATTCTGCAGATGAGCTTCACGGAAAAAAGTTAACAAAATCGCTGGGATGTATTTTTATCAGTTTGATAAACTTTTTTCAAAAGTCAGTCAACCCAGTCTGTCCAGAACCGTATACCTTACACTCTAATGAGGTTACTAAACAGCGTCTCCCCACCAGGAGAGCGATCACTATAGAGAGCATGAATCCAAAAACGGAGAAGTTATTCCAGCAAGTGGGGCCTCGTGCATCACCTTAGACCCACGAAATCGAGAGTGCTTAAAATGCGTGATCTTGTCCATTAGAGCAACACAATTAAAGCCTTTAGCATCGCCACTAGGTGGCTTTGACTTTTGAAAAGGATTTATTCATCGGTGATGTAAGACAAACAGGTTATATACTTAATTTTTACGGTCATTTATGGGCGCGATAGACCAAAACAATGAGTTATTAATAAACCACGGATATTTCAGTGATCTTATCCAACGGCTTGCTGCCTAGCAATCTTCTGGAAGGCAGCTTGCTCAGCCTCGGCGGATATGAACAGTGCCTCAAGACAAGAATGTACGGCAGTGATGGTGAACTCCGATTCAAGGGACAGTACTGCACAGTCTTTATTGAACCTCGGCAGTCAATGTTGGAATCGTTCGTCCACCACTTCCAAGCAGCCGGGGAATTATTGGTGAGCATGTGCATACTGCCTGTTCTATATCATTTGTGAATTGCGCGGAGACGATATTTTGCAGGGCGCTTGGTTTTTTCATTCGTTGGTTTTTATGTGTGGTGATTATTTTTCAAAACCAATCTAATGTCGTGATTGGCGAACTAATGACTGACACTATTAATAAAATATTTTTGTGACAGAAATAAAAACAATTAGCTAACTGTTCTTTACAACGTGAAACATAAGAGACTTCATAATTATAGACTGTTTGAATGACAGTTAGTTGCGAGTATTGTCTTTCGCGATGTATATTCCAGGCATTTTCCTGTAATTTTCGTCTTAACTCAGTAGTGTATACATGTCACAGGGAATTTATTTACATTTCCGCATAAACCCCTAACTGCACCAAAATTAGTGAAACTGAAAAAAATACATATATTCACTTCCGTATGCTGAATATCTATTGAAAAAATCACATTCTGTTGACAATATAATTATAGATCAAGCATTTTTTAATTCATGTTTTTCAAGAATCAATTTGAATATCTCATTCATTTTTGAAGACATGTTGATATGGATGTATAGGTTTTAATGATGCTAAGCTAACAGGATTGTTTTTAAATCATATGATGCCTACGCATCCACTAATCATTGTTTTGTTTTTTTTACAGGGAAGGTTCGACCCAATAAAAATTACAACCGACACGAATCTCGCAAAGAAAGCCTTAAGATTGGGTACCTGTACACCCTCTTCCTGCAGTGCGGAGGAGATACACTTGCTCGCAAATGGACGTGAGTAAACATGACTGTTGCGCTACAAGGACCGAACACATATTACAAACAGACCGTGAAAGCAAAATTTATCTTTCGAAATATACCGCAACTAACTCCTCAACAAAACATGTCGAGAATCAATTTGACGACAAACCACTTTTATAAAAAGGATTCGAGTTCGATATCTGGCAAAAGCATGATTAAATAAATGACAACTACCTTATTTCCCAAGTCATGTAATGCAATAAGAATTATTTAAAGACCGATCGCTTAAATTTGCAAGAAAAATATTCAAAACTCGTTCCGAGGAGTGAAAAAAAAGCATAATGTTTATTAATTGCAATCGCTCTCCTCTACAACATAACCATGCGCTACAAAAATCATCGTCATGGGTTGACTGTACTGGACGACGTGGAGCATGCAATTGTGCCGCCGCACTTAGAAGGTCCTGAAGCTGGCGCACTGGTAGATCATCGGTCGGTGGAATAAGAGGTTCTGTACTCTATTTCTTACGAGGGATTGGCGTGTTGGTTTAATACTGAGTAAATGTGTGTGTATGTTGCTCCGATTATGTGGCCACGGTAACCAAATACGCTGTGTCGACATGCCTTGACAACTATGCGCCTTCGTGGAATGCGCGGGCTCATGGGAAGGACCGACAAACGTCTGGGAGTATTATATTCCTAACGAGCGTGTTGGTACGATGTACTAGATAACAGAAAGTATAAAACAGAGAGAGGACGAAACACAGACGAGTACATCCTTTCGTGAAAGAATGTACTCGTCTGTGTTTCGTCCTCTCTCTGTTTTATACTTTCTGTTATCTAGTCTGGGAGTAGGGAGCTCGGTTATAATGCAATCCATGCATTAATATATTTTTGTTTTTGCTTCTTACGTTTGGGAAATTGAAAGACTCAATAGCGATTTTGCAGAAAGGACTAAGCTCGTTCATGTTGTTGCATCGAAAATTGCGCTCTTCTATGTTGGTGTTAATTGCCTATTAAGAGGAAGAGATTAATTCAGGAAAGCCGTCCAATTTGTTTTCCGCTCAACAGCGGTCTTTTTTTTTTTTTTCTTTTGAGGCACATGAAGAACGTGTAACCACTATACTATTTAGCTTTGGAGCTGCGCGTGCTTGAGTATGCTTCGCCGTTTGAGTGGCCATTAGCCTGAGCTGTTGTGCATCGCTGCGATATAAAACTGTGAAATGTATTTTTTTGTATTAAGTTGTTTTAACATATTACGTTTTTTACAACGTCAGCTGCTCCCTCGAAGAATTAGTTTGAGCCTTTGATACTGAAATGGAGTGCAAGCGAGTTTCATCCATTTAGGAAATCGGGTCTCTTTACCTTTTTTTGCAAACAGTATTAAGAATCTACGGAACAAATGCCACCGTAAAAGGTTGCAGGACAGATGACCCTAAGCGGGTTACATTTCTTCAGCTTGTGTCTATGTAAGTACGACTATGCATGTTTTTGTTACTCTTATTTAATGTAACTTTTTCTTGCCCATTATACAAGGCCTAAAAACATATTTATTGCCCTTACATAGTTAGAACGTTAAATATCCAGCAAAAGCGGGTTTAGTGAGAAGTGCGGGCCTTTTGTCTCGAACTATTCCGTAATCAAGCCCCACGAAGAATTTCTTTATCTGAAATGCACAACGGCTTTAGAGTTACAAAACAAAAACACGAAACTTTTTGAAAACACACAATCATTCACCTGGCCCGTTTTAAAGCAACCGACACATCAAACAGGAGAAGGAAAATTTACATACCAGACAGAAGGAAATGGAAGAACCTTCTACGTACTCCTGTCGTCAATCAAGCAGAGGGGCTTTCAAATGAATGGTTTACCTCTTGGCTAAAAAAACACTGCTGGCGTGTATTGCATGATAGCTGTAACATGTATGTGTCTGTTCTTAAAGGAGCTGTGCAACGACTTTAACGTTCGAAGAATTTTCATCTTCTACTTTTGGCATTGGTCAGAAAGGACAAGAAAAAACATCTTCCTTCGAAATATTGCGATTCCGCGGCGTAATTGCGGAGCAAAAATTAGAATATTTCCCGACCTGCAGCCGCGAGCGGCGGCCATGAGAACCACGCTGCATGACGTCAATGGGGGACTTGTAAAAAGATAGGAAGTTGTGCAAATACCTGCTCGATGAAAGGTAATTTTTCTATAAATCTTGTCGTTCCAACATATATATATAAACGCGTCAAAGACCTGGAATCATCGCAAAACGTTTATTATACGGAGTTTTAGTGGCGCCATCTATCTGATATCAACAAAACCGTAAGCTCTATCTGCTACCGCGAATAGCCGCCAGAAGCCGAAGGGGAAAGGGGGCAGAGCCGGACGGGGATGCCCAGACCCGGAAGAGACTTTCCCTCTTTCGCCATGTTGACCGCGCTACTCAAGCACGTGGTCACGTGGTCGCGAGCGCGGGTAAGTTCTCGCTCCTCACTGATGGCTCTAGAGGGAGAGCCTCACCGGAACCCCGCGCGTCCCCCATTGACGTCACTGCGCAAGTGACTCGGAAGATTGTGAAGGAGTTAAGGTGCCGAAAACCTTAATATTTGTCCATTTTTAAAATAAAAACTAGGACATGCAATCAAAAGCGTTTTTTTTTTTCTTTGCTTCAGAACGGTCGAGACACTAACTCTCAAAATATTTAAGCAAATCACTAAAAATGTTGCACAGCTCCTTTACGTCTCCATTTATTCTGCTTCAGTTGCTGTTTAGGCACCTTGGCTGGCTTGGTTGCGGTCGCAACACTGTTGGAGTGGATTCTGAAAAGTCGATCTGACGTGAGATCGCCGCAACCAGGTTCGAATACTTTTGATCGTTGACGGAAGTAACGCCTAAATAACAGATAAAACATTTTTTTGTTTACAGCGACACAAATTTTTATTCACGGTCATTGTTTCGGCGAGTGCGCAGCACTCGCTGAAACAATCAATTGTCTCTCTTTCATCTCCTTCCCCGCTCTCTGAGCATGCGTACGGGCAAGAGCATGATAACGTTGCAGAAGACAGGCGTATAGAGAGCATTTACTTGACGCCATATTTGTAGGTGCTATTTAGAGCGCATGCTCAGAACAAGCTCACATTAATAGGTTCCTAAAACCGGCAATCTTGATGGTTGCCGGTTTTCTCTTTCTCAGTTTTTTTTTTTTGCTTTCTCAGTTTTTTTTTGCTTTCTCAGCTTCCTCAGTTTTTTTTGCAACAAAAAAAACTGAGAAAGCTCGCCATCAGCACGCGCCCAGCAGTCGCGCACACAGCTCTGGCCGCCAGTGAATACTCCCTATTGTCAACTAAGGAAAAGAAACGGAGTGCACGCATTGCAGAGCATTCAGACTCCACCCAGAATATAGCGCCAGCAGTTAAAACCGGATACCAATTTACAAATATAATGTTATGTGATTCAAAAGTTATAGTCCTGCTCGGAGAATTTTAAATAAAAAAATGGGGTGGCCCGTTTCCCAGCAGCAGACGATGCTCATCATCATGCATTTAAAAACTTTGTTGGTTGCCATTTTCTCATTAATATTTCGTCAAATAGTCTACAAATGTTCAATCCGAAAGAAACAAAGGATGTCAATTACAGTGACGATTTGCTTGTTTAGGAAGTGAAGAAGCGCACCCTCACTTTTTGGGTTCCTCGCCATCTTCCTTACAGCACGCGAACGATCTGTGAACGATCAACAAAGATGTGTTTTACTGCTCCTCGGATAACATTCGTGGAACCCAACGTTCACACGCCGTGCACAAATGCCTCTGATCTTGCATTATGGTGTTCACACTAATAATACTTGTGTTCAACATTGAGGCAATAAACATCACGCACTCGGTTTTCTGATAAACTGAACGATCTTGCCAATTATGACACAATTCTTAGTCGTTATTGACGTTCCTACTCGTTGGGGAGACGGTTCGTACAAGACGAATTTTCGCTTTTCTCTGCATGCATCGTTCTATTCGCCAAAGACTTTTATCTTACATATGTTTCTCGCATTACCATGATTTTAACATTCTTCATATTTTAAGGCTTTATCGGATTTCTTAAAAAAACATTTAAAATAATGCTTTTTTTCATTCGCTCGTTTCTGTCACTTCTGCACAACTTCCCACTAGCAGATGAACGACTCTTAAACTCGAAGAGAAACCTCCTGGGAATACTGAGAACTGAATCTGACGTTTCACTGCCTAACATAGCAAAAACACTAATACTATTTATTCGCGAAACGCATTTTTCCTTTTTGCTTACTGCCACGGGAATCCCTCACATTAGTTCAAAGTTTATACAGTATATTCTGTGTATTGATTGGGTGCAACAGAGTCGTATTATCTTTTTAAAGAAAGGTTTATACTTCTCAAAAGTTACAAACCATTCTTCTAAACATGTAAACAGCTAGGGACTAGAGTGGACCGATTTGCATCACCCCCTCCCCCCCCCCCCCCCCCCCTCCAAGCATCGTGTTCAACTGCGCCTCTCTGCCTCATGTATAGATGATCGAATTTTTTTTTATATAAAACTGGAATGCATGCTCATAGGTTTGTTTTTATTCTTGGAGTGTGTATAGAAAGCGTAACACTCGGAAAGACTAGAAATTGAGCCAGTTATTTGTTGTTAGAAAGTTCTCTGTTTGATTGCTTGTAGAGCCAACTTAGAAGAGTATATGTTGGGTGAGTGAATAATCACAGCCGTGATTCACCTCAGAAGAAAACTAATTGAATATGGAAAAGGTGTCGTGATTGTCCCACTTCAAGCAGCCAGGCGATTTATGTATCACGCACGCTGTACATACACATACTTTGCGTGAGTCATTAAAGTCCCTGGCGCTGCTTTCCTTGCAGGTGCTTTTTTCGGGCCTCTGAAGTTGGTGCTGATATTTTCGGCCATCAACAACACGCGACGTCTGCTTCGAACGGAAACGAGAGCCGACAACAAACCCATACTCTTCCTCAGCGGTGTCAAAGTCTTGCTCATACTTTGGGTAATATACGGACACGTCTACGTGGTTGTTCAGCCGGAATTCACCAGTAAGCATATTCCCCGACTTACCGCCAGCGAAAGCCTAATTCTTGAAATTGTAAATAAGAAGCGTTCTGAAAGGCTTCCAACACGCGATTCACTACAAATTAAGAACTCAGCAGGATTTCTTTCTTTCTTTAAAAACTAATGTTAGCCCTCTTTTGAGGGCAGTACAGGCAGGATCCGAGTGACTGATGTATATGTAAGAGTGACTAAATATTAGGGATGGGCGTCGATTAATATTTTAACCCGATTAATCGCCATCCTTTAATCGATTAATTTATCGATTAATCGGTTTCGATAGTTCCATGCATAATATTTTTAAATGGTAAAACTTTACATTACATTACATTTTTTGCGCTTTTTCTGAATGTGTGCTAAACAAATAAATATAGACGTTTTATCAATTAACCTCAATGTGTAGTTCAGAACAGTTCAAAAGCACTCACCTTAACACACTATTACTTTAACTAACGAGGCAAAGAGGTTCGTTGATATTGTCCGGCAAGTGCGACCTCCATTGAGGGTTCAATGGTCTCTGCTAAACGAAACGGACACTCGCACAGCATTTAAGTCGCCGGAACATTTGTACCATTCTGCACTAATCTGGAGTTAGAAATGTCGCCCGTACAGTTTACTTTAGATTGAAATTTTACCTAAATGTAGCCCTTCATACAGATGTAGTCCTCCGCGTCTGTGTGGTGAAAGCGTTTAAATTTTACTTTATTTTATTTCGTAAATACTTTACCAAATAACCGCTTAAAAATGAATCGTGATTAAAGCAATAATCGATTAATTGGTAGGTTAATCAATCAATTGCCCAGCCCTACTTAATATGTGCAACAACTAAAATACGTGATACAGACGAGGAGATGACGTTCTCCTAAGCGACGAGCAGAAGACGTTCTCCTACTCTTAGAAAAAAGGGTACGGATAGTCCTCCCTTAGGGGACGAACGGTCTTGTAACCTATGTTTTTTTAGAAAGGGAGAAACTTTCGTCCCTGAAGCAGGGGAGCAAAGTTCCTCCGTCGCTTGCATCTCAATATGGCGGCCCCGAATCGAGCAAATCGAGCCCAATAAGGCTTAACGAGGACGCTACGTCTCTTGTACGGGACGCGAGCAGCAGCAAATGAAAGCGTAACACGAGCTTTCCGCAAACTGTGTTTATTTCCGAAGCCAGATTCCCCCCACAGGTACAGAAACTTGCGTTTCGAAAGCAGTTACTCAGTCTTCTCGTCGACAGCACTGCGATGTTAAACGGAGACAACCGATACCCAGTTACTTCGCGCACTTTGCGTCTTACCTTTGGTGTTTCTCGAGTCACAATTCCTTCGTCAACCGCGCATCACGGAGAAGGGCAAACTCAATCCGCCAACCAAAAGACGCTCTCGAAAGAACAAACTCGAAGCCGCTGTTTATCGCGTAGCGTAAAAGGTTAAATCGCTAGCCACCAGATGGCGGGATCAAGCAGAGTAATTGCAAGTAGCTAGGCTAGGTGGCGCTAGGTACAGCCCAATTCATGTTCTACAAAAAGTATTTTACTCTTCTCAGGTCACTACTGCGCTTCAGAGCCGCTCTCCTGCGCTTGGGGCTCCTTCTACTATACAAACATTACGCTTATTACAAGCATAAGGTGAACATACATTGAGCACATACAACGGAACACCACACTTTTTTTTTTTTTTTTTTTTTTTTAACGGAACACCACACTAACCCGAACACTACACCCGCGCTCTGCGTTTCCGTCTTTTATACTGGTCGTTTTGAACGTACGGAACTTTTCGGTGACCCCCTAAGCAATAAAAAATATTCCCAGCATGTTGATTTTTTTCCAGCAATGTCATACCTCTGAAATTATTTTAAATGGCTCAGGGGATGAATCTCTTATTAAAAAGTAAATGCTCTATCATACCGTAATTATTTGAAAGCCAATAAATCAAGCCGCTCCAATGCGGTTCGAAGCCATGAGTTTGTTTCCCCATACGGCACGTCGTAGCCTGTATTTCTATTGGTTTTTCTATTTGTGCTGTTCGCGCAAAGCTGCAATTGCCGTCTTCAATTAATCTCTGTAGAGCGGATATTCACTCAGCTGGAAGTGATGCTGCACATGCTGAGAAATCGCTTTTCGATCAACTTGAATGCAGTGAAAGCCGCGACTTACGGCAGGTGTTTAGTGTACGGAGCTACGCCGTGGCGAGCCCAAAAACTTCTAGCGCTCATCCCAGTCAGGGGCGGATCCAGACCTCCATTTTGGGGGGGGCGGTTCCTCGGCGTTAAACGGGGGAGGGGGGGGGGGGGAGTGTTTATATTTTTTGTGGAGTCATCGTTTTTACTAAACTCTGATAACATAATATAGATCTTGAGAGCTTTTGTATCGGTTTACCTGTAGGGGATGAACTCTTTGAACTTCCTGTGGTTATGCACACCAAGGCACACGCTCCCGTACTTTTGACTGCATAGCCTCAGAAAGCTGGGCATCTGGCCAACGCAATGTCTCTGCTCGTGCGGAAAATCACGTGCAATTGCAAGCCTACCAAAGCTATATTCACGTGCACGCCACACGTACCTGCTCGTATGGGGCACCAGTCAGGACGCTACACACAGTCAGGACGCTACACTGTAGCGTCCTGACTGTAAATTTGACCGTAAAATTTACGGTCAAATACCAGGCAGCTGATGCTGCCAAACTTGTACAGTAAAAATAACGGTGCACTGTAAATCTGGTTTACGATAAATTTAAACGGGGACCGTAGAAATCTACGGTCGGCCTTCAAATTTGCGGTAAAAAAAAAAAATTTACAGCGCGCCGTTATTTTTACGGTGCAATTTAAACGGCGAGAAAGGTGGTAGTATTCAGGTTCATAACATCATTGTATAGTGATGTTATGAACTCAATGATGTTATGAGCCTCGACTGAACCAAGCACGTTTTGAAGGCTTTCAGCAAGTTGGCCGAACATGTATTGTTTGTACAAGAAACGCCGACGTTGAAATTCATAAATGGTTTTTTGAACTGTTGATATCGGCATAAGAAGCGTTCCGTTGAACTTCAGATAGAAAAAAAAAAAACAAGGTCGTATTTTACGGTTTTCCTTTTTTCTCCTGCAGACAGAGACATTAACACGTCGTAGTTATCATTAGGGGATTGCATCACGTTAACAGCACCGTCTTCATTAGAATCCGCACTAGTGGACCGAGCCGAAGAGTCCTCAACTTGAAGCGGGCCTGCAGGCGATGCGCCGTCGCCCAAGAAACCCGTCACTCGTAAATGCGCCCAGTTCAAATGTGCCGTGATCGAACTATGATTTCACACCTTCTGACAGTTGGAGCACGAACACGAAAACAAAATACTGTCGGTGATGTGGCCTTTTAGATGTTTTAGCAAAGCCTCCCTTGTCTGGCACTCCTCTAGGCATGGTGGCAAAGTGCACTGAAAGCTTTCCAAACTCCTCGAAACAAACCAAACTTCCCTTAGGCGTACCAATGCCTATGTCTTCTCAAAATATGACACCTGAGAGCATCCTACGTAACAAACTGGCGACAGCATCCTTCGTCCACACACTGAAGAATTCGAGAGCTGAAAACGTGCTCATCGAATTGCACAACCATCAAGCGTGCTTGAACAGAAACTACAAATTCTGCAAGTAAACATCTTTTAGAGTGTTGTATTTATGCCACCATTACACTATCCTTGCCAATCAAGCAGCAGATTGATAGTGAAATACCTGCCTCGAGTATCCAGTTGCCTTCCGCTCCACATTTTCAGGTGCACAAAAATCCGGGAATGCCACAAACGAACGAGGACAAAATGGCGCGGAGATGGGTGGGAAGGCGGGAAAATGAACTGAACGTCAGCTTTTTCCACTTCTTTCCGCGTTGCCCCAACCAACGTTCCTTTCTTTTGTTTATGCTTCTAGCTCGTCGCATTGTTGCTCTACTGTTTGCTCTTAGTTCTCTTTTTTTTCTTTTTTCAGTTAAGGCAGTTACGTTCTGCGTTGGCGCGGCTGGCGCGGACGAAGAAAGGAGGTGAAGGAGCGAGAGGAGACTCTCTGGGTTCCCGCAGCTTCCGAAAGGTCAAGCGTGGTGACCAATTAGCGAAGCGCGTCTTTTCTTTCTGTTTTCTTGCTCCATGAAGTTTTGCGTTTCTCTCTCGGTTTTTTTGCTCGTTTACGGTGCATTTCAGATAATTCCTCTTCACGGCGTACTTGTAGTTTTTATTAGCGTATAGCGCCGTGAATTTGACGGTTACTTTTTACAGTCTATGCTTTCGAAGCTAAGCGCTTGTGAGCCCGAGCATGCTGGGCGCCGATAAAAGCTGCGCACAATGCCTGGTTACTACTACTGATATGTCAAAAAACACCTCGACCGCACGAACACTCGTGTGGGGGAAGCTCCAAAACTAATAGATCGCGTTTGTCCAAAGTGAAGTAGGGTAAGATGGGCCAAATGAGACGCGGGGCAAAATGCGACAGTTGGAGTGAAGGCACCCAACGAAAGTTTTTGTTTAGTGCCAGCTATCACCTAGACACAAGTTTCAAGCTTCACTGAGACGTGCCTTAGCCTGTTCACTTTGCGTGAGCCATAAATGACTGCCTTTGGCAAGTCCTTTCCGGAGAAAAAGAAATGCCGATTTGAGATTGCCGAGTTGACCGCCCGTCAAAGAGGTGCATAATTCCGCGCGAGATTTCACTTCGAGAAGTACGCCCCGGTTGGCACAGACTTTCTACCAAGGTATAATTTAATTTCATTCCTAAGTTTTATTCGCTGCATGCAGACCAAATTTGAGTGTTCAGCGTGCTTTGTTTTACGGAAATAATTATTCACGTAACGGGATACGCGCGAGACAAAACGCGACAATGTGGCATTGTATGACGCGTGTGTCAATAATGTACCAGTTTCCTGGTTGTTCCTGAGTCATATTTTCCTCTCGGCGCCTAGGAGGATCAAAACGTACAAAAGAAAGACAACAGGGGCTTCATGGCGCATAAGTAACACTACGAATGCTCTT